CCCCAAAACCCCAAAACCCCAAAACCCCAAGAAGATCAATATTTGCGATAATAGTATTTCATTTGATATTTAATCTTTTATAATAAACTTTCAATAATCTTCATCATCTTAAGGTATTTCCAAGGGAGGGATTTCTTATCTGCAGGAGGGGCATTCAAGTCTAATATTAGACCATTGCTTAAGACATGCTTCGTGAAACTTATGATTGCAAGGAGTTCTCATATACTCCTTTAAGTTTTGAGTCTAACCATCAAACCTCAAACTATTCAAACAAATGACACATTCCTCTTGTGAACTTTCATTATTCATTGATCTTTCAGATTAGCTAATTTCTAGAGAGTTATCTACTTTCTCATATTCTTATATTTTTTTATTATCACTTATTTCAGTTTCTTCATTTTACTCATCAAACTTGACTTTGTAGACATATGGTCTTGAGCCACATATATTTTTTCTATATTGTTTTGGGAAACAAAATCTTGCTCCAAAAACTCTTTACAATAGCAAGATGAATAATGATATTCCTTGAGAATAAAGAATTAAATTAGCTTAGTTTTATTTAGGTCTGAAGTACAAGAAATTTCCATCAATGCATCTTACATATAAGGGGAAAAACAAATGCAGCATACTAGAAAATATACAAAATGCCCAATTCGGAGCTTTTCTATATCTGTGGAAGAAATTCCACAGTATCTGAGGATACCATGTCATTCCAAATACCATAAAGAAGTAAAGCTCTTCGACTACAAGCAGCTTGATCATTATAATGAATGAAACAAAGGAAATAAAGTAAAATTTAGAGAATAATTTTATCATTCCTGAGTAGAAATTATTCTCAAAGTCGATCTAAATATAATTTTGGCCATAGACCCATATTTACAGCAAAAGCCTAAATTGAAAATTGAAATGGCATATTAGTAAGCTGAGGAAAAGTGGAAATATATACTTCAATAGATTAGGATAGGCCAGCATTACTAATAGATGTATAGCTATCAGAGTGAATGTCCATCCACATTACCATTCTATTGAGTAATGACTTATATTTGCTGCTATTTAGGTGTTTGCCTTGCATTACTTTATCAGATTTTCAATGCTTATCATGTATAAAAGTACAATTAAATTCCCAACAAGAGAGTACATAAAAACACCAAAGTCAAATTAATCATTATTTGAGCTATCTTAGTTTCTATTGAAAATAAATACTTTATGAATAAGGCAAGTATTATGATCCAGCTGAACATTGAGAAAATTTTTACTTTTAAATATAGTTGCATTAAGCATGCATCCTCTTTTGCTTAGAACATCAAAATATCTTCCTTGGTATATAATAGCTTTAGTAAAATTGATGCGAAGAAATTGTCCATCTATAGTCAAATCCTCTTCGATCTGTTCATTTTCTAGGGTCACATTGACCTAAATCCAATCATCAATATATTACCCATTGAATAGTCTAAATACAAATTCAATCTTCGCATTATGAAGTGTAATCTTATTAGGGATATTTAGTGTTTTTAGAGTTACATTTTCTTGAGAGTTCACATAGCTATTCATTGTTATTACAAGCGATGAATCACCTTTTGTCTTATCAAATGAGTCTTGAATAGTTTTAAACTATTTTTCCTTTTAGATTGTTTATTATTCCCAAAACCCATTTAGATATAAACTCTAATGACTTTAGTTAAAACTGAAAAAATCCTACAATGTCTGATAGTGAAACTAATCAAAATTATCAATGTGCATAAAATCAGAATTCTTCATAACCTCATGGTGATGATCTATTCTAAATTTAGTTGAGTTTAGTGTATCATTAGAGGCCTCCAGTTATCAAGTAGGAATGAAAGTTTCTTCGTGATTGATATACAAGTTTGGATGACCCTCAAATATACCATAAAATGATGTAACTTGCATGATTAAATTAAGGCATGCAAAAATACCAATTACAATTTATTTCATTTTTATAATTTTATTCTTATGCTACCAATTATGATATGATGGGGTTTTGGGGTTTTGGGGTTTTGGGGTTTTGGGGTTTTGGGG